AGCCGCGCGCGTCGACCTCCGCCTCGCCCAACAGCCGCGCGAGCTCGTCGAAGTCCCGCGCGCGCGCCGACGCCTGGGCCTCGTCGCCGAAGAGCCACTCGCCGAGCTCGGGCAGGACGCGCGCGCAGCGCGCGGCGCGCGCGCGGAGCGCGCCGGCGCCGCGCTCGACGACGCGGCCGTGCGCGGGCTTCTTCTGCTTGCCCGTCGGCGGCCGCTCGGGCCGCGCCGCGAAGAGCGCCGCGGGCAGCTCCGTCGCGGGCGGCGTCTCCGCCGGGGGCGCGCGGTGCTCTTGCTTGCTCTTGCGGCCGCGGCCGCCGCCGGGCCGCGGCCGCTTGCGGCCGCCGGCCGCCTTGGCCTCGAACTGGCGCTGCTGCCAGTCGACGCGCCGGAGGTCGACGTCCCGGAAGAAGCCGCGCAGCAGCGTCGACGGCTGGCGCGCCCGCGCGGGCCGCGGGCTCGACGGCGTGCTCTCGCCGTCGGGCCGCGTGCTCTCGCCGTCGTCGTCGCTCATGTTCGCCTCGAGAGCGACAGTCGCCAATGCCCGTCCGAACCTGCTGCCGAGTCCTGCAGCGCGCGCGCTCAGCGGCAGCAGTCGCGATTGATGGCGCGCACGAGTCGGGCCGCTTTGGATCGACTTTGATGGTGCCGTCGTTGCTGAACACAACACGATGGGCCAAGGGGATATAAATCTAGATGGGGTGGCAGGCGAAACGCGAGGTCCTCGTACTACTCGGGGCCGCCGCTAGCGTTTTCTTTCTTCTTCCACGCCGCAGCGCGCGGGCTGAGTGCAACGATGGCGGGTCGCGCGGCGCGGCGCGGCTGCGGAACCCTTCGACGGGGCGGGGCAGCGAATTTGGGCTGCTGAGATCATTGCGTTGGCTCGCGAGCGCGACGGTTGTTCGGCGGCGGGACGAGAGGGCGGCGGTGTGAGTCGAGTGTGCGATATTTTCTTGTCCTTAGAGGTTGGAGGCGCCCTATGGGTACCCGCGGGGGGCTCGAAACCTTCAGGACACACTTTTCCCACGATCTCAGAGCCTGCGCAGCCCCGGCGCCGACGGTGTCGCAACACAGTTTCTCGGGCAGCGTGCGGGCATTCGAGGTCGAGAACTTTTCGTGTCCTGAGATGCTCGAGCCCATCCATAGGTACCAACGAAGGGCTCTGCAGCGCCAGCAGACGGTCCACGACCATCATCATCGCGAACACGTCCAAGAGCTGCCCCAAAACCCCCTTCCTCGCGTGGCGCCAAACCGGACACGGTGCCCTCCAGCGCGCCTCGGTTTCCTTCCACCGGACCCGAACCGCCCGGACGCGTAAGTCTTGTCGCGGGCGCCTTCGCGGGGGAG